AACAACGGCAATTTTTCCACAGCCACAATCCAGTTCACTAAAAGTGTTAGAAAAGTAGACTACCGCAAGGTGAACAGTAGGCCAAAGGCTAGGTGTTTGTTCTTCATCCAACGAGCGACCTGAAATCACTGGTTAAACTCTATGGTAAACCGAATGCCGGTTTTCATGCTGCCATATCATTCAAAAGCCTACGTTTAACAGCCGAGGTCTGATAATTGCTTCTTCGGTTGTGAACTCTTCCTTTCGTTCGCCCAGAGGATGCCTCAAGTAGTTCAGGCTTTATTAACTCTAGCCGGTTTGCATCAACGTGAAGATCACGAATCTTAATGAATCCGAGGATTTGCAGACCCGAGAAAATCGATCATGACAAAACAAACCGAGGAACCATATTATATTATATATTGCATTTTGGCCACAGAAAATGCAACTATGACTTTAGCCATAAAGTTTTGCCTACTGAAACGCTCTGGTTATTACTGGAATTCTGTCCCAGAAACCCTTCATTTTGAACCCAAGCGTCAAACCCATATCATCCCCAAATGACGTCGAAAATATCCCGGATCATGAAGAAGAGTACAAAATGAACGAAGGAAACCAAAAGACGATGAAAACCATCATAACGACGACGAATATGGTAACGATTGGCGAGAACAGAATGAAAATGAAAAGAATAACGAAAAGAATAGTCAAACGAAATAATTTGTAAGAGGCGATCACGACAATGATCATAAAGATAAAACAACGAACAGCCATAACAAAATGGATCATGGCAAAAAAAAACAGATCTCGACAGATCTGACAGGCAGAAGATCTGCAGTTTAGTTCATGTCACACTGTTTCGTAGATCGTTAAGAATTTAAAAATGCGGTTATAGTCCGTTATAAGCATGAAAAAACATAATCTTAATAATGTGGCGATGACCATGATGTTACTAGCAGGGATGATAATGAAAATAATAATAACATTACTAATATAATAATAATAATAAAATGATGATAAGAATGACGATGGTCAGGATGATAATGGCGACAATGATAATGATAACGACAACAATGAAAAGATCAATCCTAATATTGACTCTACTTACTGGATGCCGCAAAGGGTTGCGACATTCTCGCTCTTCTAGTCAGTAATTGCGACTGCTTCCTATCTAATACGATTGCAAGCGAATCCTTGTGACAGATTTGGTTTGTAATTTGTCGACAGATAAGCCCATCTCAGTTATAGTCAACTCG